AAATATCACGGCGGGGGACACCAGAAATGGGCTTCACATATTTTACCCATGTCGGGAATCGAACCCGGGTCTTCGGCGTGACGAGCAAACGCTTAAACCACTAGGCTACCCGACCGCCCCCACATTTTTATGAATAACAACTTCTTTAATACTGTGAAAAGCGACGTTTCGGTATAGATCCTTATACCGTTGTCAAGCAAGACTGTCTTCTCGGCGTCCAGTGTGGAGGCCAACAACAAAACGCCCAACATGGCGCCCTGTGACTAGACGCCCTACAACTACTGCCCCTAGAAGATCAACGTGGGCACCGTGGACAAGACCCCCTCTTACGTGGTGGCCGACAAGGAGACCCTCCAAGCCCTGGTTGCTTGACAACGGTATAAGGATCTATACCGAAACGTCGCTTTTCACAGTATTAAAGAAGTTGTTATCCATTAAATTGTGTCTATCTTGTTAAACTTACACGTCGTAATATAACTGGAATACTGTTAAAACGGCGTTAAACACAACTCACTCACTCACTACTATTTTATGACGTAACTATAACGAAAATGCAATTACATGTATATAGAACGACTTGTTAGACCAGTGATGATTTCTGCCACATCGTGTTATTGGGAAGGCTGTTTCTACCTCTATGGTTGAGAGTATAGCGATAAAGCATAGATGGTAACTTCCGGAAAGGAGAGCTGGGGTTTGCGTGTTAAACCCCATGTCAATACAGAGTGCTGCGACTCGCTCTAACTGCTTGATCTGAACGTCACCTCGGCCACTGCGCTTATTGATGCGACTTAATCTACACAATAACCTATTATACTAATGGTTGAGCTGTTTCTGAAGAGCCAAAAAACACGGCAAATGACAGCGCAGTACGAGCTGAACTGCCCTAGATTAAAGCATTGCAAACAAACAATCCTTTTGTTTTTATTAACGTTGAACAGTGCACAGGGAGGAAGATGTATATAAAACGCAACAATTGTCTCTGACCTGCTTTTTTTGCATTCTTGTCAAGTGAATACATTGCTGGAAATACACTGCGGTGTCATTGTGCATGACAGCAATTTGACTACTGGTACACGCAGAACTATGCATATGTTGAGCATGAAATTGGGAACGCTGAGAAAATGTGCGACTTGTGCATTGTTATAAAGCTTCCCTAACTTCTTGAACAAATACTTACCGTTACCTTTTATTTGTTTACGTGCTAATTTGTTTACAAAATCGTTGAATGTTTATTGTTTATTGTATGTGTTGTTTTAGGTTTAAAGTGATATTACTGCTATCACGATATTGTATTATTTTGTTTGTAGCTGTAAGAAAGGGGCTGTGGGGTAGCCTAGTAGTGAAAACGTTAGCTCGTCACGCCAAAACCTGGATTCGATTTCCCATGTGGGTACAATTATTAAATTCGGAGATTATATTTGTCTCTGTGCAGTTAAAAATTTGAATTTGGGCATACATTTTCTCTTTTAAAATATAAGTAATCTAACTGTTGATTATATACGTCTTATGTTCATTTGGAACCGAGGCAACGCTTTAGATCGATGTATTCGCATGATTTTTTGTGTGAAAAGCTTGTTAAGATTGAGGTATCAGATTGAATTAAATACCTGATTACAATCTTGTTTTTTGATCAGTCAGAATCAAGCTTTCTTCAGTGCCATGGTAACATTCGTCATATCCAGTGGTGTTGTTATACAATTATCTCGTTAGCTAGTAAAGCAATGTCTAATTTTCTATTATCAGTCAGTAAGCAACCCTATTTATCTTCCATTATCTTCCATAATCCAAAAAATGTCAGGTTCATGAACAAATATACTTTTCTTGCTTGGTTATAATTTATTCATATTATATTATATCTATATCTTGTAGGATTGGCTACAAGTTAAATAGAGTGAGTTTGATTTTAAGCCAATTTTGCGCAATATTCCAGCAATATCATGGCGGGGGACACCAGAAATGGGCTTCACACATTGTACCCAAGTTGGGAATCGAACCCGGGTCTTCAGCGTGACGAGAGAACTCTTTAACCACTAGGCTACCCGACCGCCACACAGAATAAGTGGACATTCTCTGTTCGTATTATTACAATCGGACGGTGAATAATATCTCAGAAGCAAGTGAAATACAAAATATGATACACCTGTTTATTATATTGGTTTACTGTAGTGAAATGACAGATAACGGAGATAGTTGTGACTAAACAGAGCAAGAACGATATCTTGTAAATATATTTTTCTTTCTTTGGGAAAATATGGAGGATATTAGCTCTTTTCTGTAACAAACACTTCAAAACAAAACACAAACATAAGACAGTTGCCATAGCAATTCAACATCCGTGTCAAATTATAATCCTGTTGATACCGATTTTAAAAATAATATTGTTTGCAGAATTATTTTTCTGGTTCAACCAGATAACGAAAATACCCTTTCTTCCTCTTAAAAACAAAGTTATGAGTTTGTAAATCATATTTTTATCTTGCAATGAACTGGGATGTGATGTGTCTTTGTTTGTACCAGTCATCATTATCCTTCAGTGCATGCACTGACGATTAGGAAAGGACCTTTGTACAATCAACCATAACGAACGTAACACCTATGTGTTACCACCGAACCCAGGAGCTACCACTCAACCACTAACTTCGAATCTGGTAAGAATAATATTGACCAAGAGGTGTTTTCACTAAAGAAACGAACAAATTTGTACTCGTAATTCTGACGATCTTTTAAGGGTAACAATGTTTGTCGACTTAAAAAAAAGGTATTTTCTTAGCCATAATTCTTGAAGAACATTAAAATTCCCAATGGCAACGCCCAGGTGCTACTTTTGCCACCTGCTTACATAAACAGAATCTTGTACGATCCATTTCTTCAGCAGGGCAATCTCGTATGATCCACCTAACTCCGCTTCACCCGTCGCCACACACGGTTGAATTCTCCAGAGGTCTGGGGTTGCTTGCATAAAACTATGTCATATATTTCTTTGCGAAATTAGTTCTTGTAACAATTTGTGCTTGACCGTAATTCATTTTGTTTTTCCTATATATTTTTGGATTAAGTCTCCAAAAGGCAGCACAGGATCAAAGAGTGAAATGTGTTCTTCAACATTTCACACTTCCATTCTAAACCTCACGTCGTCCATTGCGTCTTAGCGATTTGAAAACCCTTCTTCTCTTTGAGTGAAAGTTGCAGCTGACTCGAACTATTAATAGTGAGTAAATTAGATCTTAGTAAAACATGATGTTTGTGCATAACGCTGGATATTGGGTGCACAGATGTAGCGAGACTCATAGGGCAAACATAAAATTCATAAACAATAGCGTTGCGCAACCTGGGCAGCCTTATCACGCAACTAAACAAATTTAGAATTGAATTATTTGAAAATCGTCCCTTGACTCAATAACAAAACTAACCTTTAGAATGCAATGCATTTAAAAACATGATCATTCAAAAGAATAAAAACATTCGTCCAACAGAAGATTATTATGTACTTTTAGGGATTATTTTTATATGTTATTTTTGATGAAACGTGTGGTTGATCACCTGATGTGTTTTTGTCCGTTACAAATTTTGGAATTATTGAATATTAAGACGTGCGTTTGCACAACAGCCACAAGAATTTTGATATTATGGAACAACCGATATATGATCCGTTTGGTTGTTTGCTCTGTGGGACTGCCTGGCACGTATTGGAGTAAATGACCACTGAGCGGTCGGAGGAGCTCTCTGGCACTCAATGTATTGAACTATGCGGATAATGTAAATATGAGGAGAGGTGTCTCCTCAACAAGAACATTGTCATTTGGGTATCATAGTATGTGCCTTTATAACCTATTTCTTTTCCTCAAAGCATAGATGGTTTGATAGGGACAAAACACCACTCCCGTTGATCTACTGATATAGAATATTCTTTAAGCATTAAAAACACGTCTTTGTACCTGTGGAGTGGCGTAATATGAAACCAAGTCTTAATTACTAAGTCTTGATTTTTTTAATTTGCATTAAACTTTTAACCAGCTTTACCAACTTGTGCATTAATAGATGTTAACCTCCCCCACACAAATGTGTCATTGTAACCTTTCATTACCTTTGGCATATCTGTTCAATATTTAGTTGCACACTGACAATGTTAATTGTAAAACTCAAGCAGATTTTCAGTTGCTTTGACCGAGTAACGCACGCCGTCTCCACAGAGGTATTATATCTGGCACCGGCTCGATGGTATGTTCTGGATTATTGTCCTTGATTTTTATGGCTTCGAGGCGAACCTGCGGCTAATTGGCAAGTTATACCTGTAATTAACAGGTGATCGCTCCTTAAAGGGCGTAAGGCTCTGGTTAGTTTTTCTTGCTTGACAATCGTCTACTCTGGGCGATTATGACTAGTCAACATGGTATGTAAGGGGGTATAAGCAAAACAAACATTATTTTATTACCATGACGTCAATAACCTTGAAATTAGACACACTTTACAAATCATTACAGTTTTCAAGAGCATTAGTGTGTATTTGAAACTTAAAGACATGCTTGCCGCCAATCCCAGAGTGTCTAGTCTCTTCAGTGGCTTCTTGCTTCGTTTTTCACCTCAGTGGCTGCAGCTAGCTGGAACTAAGACCCAGGCCTATTACCTGCACAAGCTTTGTTTGCTTTGAGATCGGCGCACAATTGGCCAGGCAACTTTCAATCAGGGGAAATGACTAAAACTGCCAGTGACGCTGCAGGAACTGTGTGTGTCCCCTATATTGTACAACCTTGACGTTGCCACAGCAAGCTGCAGCCCAACACCGACAAACAGCGCGCGGAACTCGCGTATCACGTGACCAGCGGAGCGACGGAATGCCAACAAGCAGACGACACAAGACGATTCTTAATCTCTTTGAGGGCGAATTCAAATACGAGGATTCTCTGTGGATTACTCTACCATTGACCAGCCCTCTGCTTGCTGGGGAACCGCGCAGCGCGTTTAAATTTCTTCCTACTTGGAGTTTGGGTTAGTTGTCGCTGGCAGCGCATGGGAGAAGGTTGTCGCTGCTCACATCAACTGATAGTGTGACAGTGTGGATAAGGCAGGACCCATTAGCCAAGGATAGGAGGACAAGTCACTGAGTTGAGCATCGTGTTTACTACTTGGGTATAGCCTTTGGATCTTACCCTATATTCGTCTATTGGATATATCTCCGCCATAATATAGGTACAATGGTGCAATCAATATCATCAAATGTTAGACATTTTGTCTTTAGATTCACAAACGTGTGGACTTTATTATTGTGGATTACAATAGCATTTGCCAAGGATTCGAAAATATCATTATATAAACCGCCCGTGGGCAGTCCCTGCAAGTTCCCGGTGGCGCAGCAGACTTATGTTAGAGACTCCAAAGACTGTAGCGTGTTTTACACGTGTTTCGGGAACCGCTCGTGGAAGTTGTCGTGCAGTACCCCCTACACTGTCTGGTCCCTCAAATACAAGGTATGTGTCTGGAAGCATTCTCCTTATGATGATTGTGATATACCCGACGGTGGATTGACCACGCCGTCTCAACTTCGACGATCACAACGACCCCAACCCCCAACTCGACGGCCTGAAACCAAGGGTCCTTTCACCCCTCCCCCTACCTATAGACGTCCTACTACCACCATCAAACCCCGAACATGGCGTCCATTGCCCACCGATAAGCCCACCAGGGTTCCAGTAACTTGGAGACCTACCTCTCGACGCCCGACCACACGCTGGGTGACAAGGCGGCCCCCGATAAGGAAATCAACGCGGAAACCTACTTCTCGTAAACCCGTAACACAACAGCCGCTTGTTAGATCTACACCCCGACGTCCTTCGACTTGGAGACCCACCACACGCAGAACTCCTTTCACACCACCAACAAGTCGAAGACCTTTCACAAGGCGCCCTACTTCCAAACCCACTACCCGTCGACCAACGACCCGTCGACCATTTACCCGTCGACCATCAACCCATCGACCATTAACCCGTCGACCATCAACCCATCGACCAATTACCCGTCGACCAACAACGCGTCGACCATTTACGCGAAGACCCACGACCCGACGTCCAAGAACCAGGAGACCCACTTCTCGGCGTCCAGTGTGGAGGCCAACAACAAAACGCCCAACATGGCGCCCTGTGACTAGACGCCCTACAACTACTGCCCCTAGAAGATCAACGTGGGCACCGTGGACAAGACCCCCTCTTACGTGGTGGCCGACAAGGAGACCCTCCAAGCCATGGTTGAATGGAATCACCACACAGTGGCCAACAAGGCCTGTTTATACATCGCCTCGGACTACACCAACCACTACAACTACTACTCCTTCTACCACAACGACTACACCAACCACAACGACTACACCAACCACAACTACACCGACCACAACGACTACTATTACGACGACAACTACGACGCCCAAGTCAACAACTACAAAAACGACAACAGTAAAAACAACAACGATGACCACGACGACACGGCGACGAGCTACGTATAACGGTAAGTGTTTTTTTCTTATTGATAGTTCTTCAGTCTCTGATGGTTGTTTTTCTTTTTACTGTTGTAATTAAATATTAAAATATGTAAGATGTGGGTATATCATTTGTCAGTAACTCCAAATAACCCGTGTCATTTATATAAGGGAAACATAACCTATTCAGAGAGGGTTAATCTAATTAGCTTGAGAGGCTGTCAGATATAAGTTTGACATGTTATATAAAGTCGATGAATTATAACTTCACCTTTAACTGAAACCCAAGTCGATGCCAAGTAGGAATAACCTCAGACACTTGATCAAAGTACAAACATCACCATAAAGCCAACAACGTCGATATGTCTGAATTGACTTGAACCATTTGATATTTATCAAGTCAGTGAAATATGTAACATCAATGCTAGAGACTAACCAGTCTCGACTTTCCAACAAAACATATCCCATTGGGCGTAAAAGACAACATAGTCGTGAAAATATATGATTTATATGAAAATCATTCTTGTCACCAGGTGTTAAAACCATTAGAACGACGCCAGTTCCTGAAGAGTTTGGATTTACCTTTACAACTTTAACGCTATCCAAAAGTCAGTTTTGAAAGTACGCCCGTCTTAACGCTATCCAAAAGTCAGTTTTGAAAATACTCCCGTCTTAACGCTATCCAAAAGTCAGTTTTGAAAATACTCCTGTCTTAACGCTATCCAAAAGTAAGTTTTGAAAATACTACCGTCTTAACGCTATCCAAAAGTCAGTTTTGAAAATACTACCGTCTTAACGCTATCCAAAAGTCAGTTTTGAAAATACTACCGTCTTAACGCTATCCAAAAGTCAGTTTTGAAAATACTCCCGTCGTAACGCTATCCAAAAGTCAGTTTTGAAAATACTATCGTCTTAACGCTATCCAAAAGTCAGTTTTGAAAATACTCCCGTCTCCTAAACGTACTCATATGGGCGAAACACTCGCCTTTTCCATAATCAATTGTAACTATTTCTGATAGACGAAGGTCAAGTAGCAATAAGACAGGTCAATATTCAGACTCCATCCCATTGTCCGCATGTCCGCCTTAAACCCTTTCTTGTGGACTGTTTAGATATCTGCAACAAGTCAACAGCTGACTAGAGAATTAATCCGTAGCCACATAAATGTCATTGATTGCTTTCTATACTTGGTTAAACCATTGCTTCACTATCCCTCTGAATGCTTCTAGCCTACGTTTCCCCATTTCACACATGTTTTCCAAGCCTTTTGTCAGAAGCTGTCCGTGAGAATGTATGCATTACCTCTTGCAATCTTTGTACAGCATTTCAAGCATGGATTTTTCTATTGTAAGGTCCATTTAAAATCCCGCTTCTGTAAAAATATGATCCAGACTTGAATATGGCCTTTTCGTCATAGTTCCTTCAAAACATGAACGCCTACAGCCTTTCAAGCCTGGAATTACCTATTGAAAAGTCAATTCAAAATCCGGCTTCTGTAAAAATGTGACCAAGACTTGAATCTGGCCGTGCCGTCAGAGTTCCTTGTAAACATAAACTCCCACAGTACCCCAGTATATGACTGACACCACTCTACCAATAGAGTTTCATTTAATTATTATCTCCAATAGATTCCCTTCACACAATGGGTACCTGATATGTATAACAAAGTGTATAATACCTTCAGACAAATTAAGCTCATGTCTCCAGGGAAAAGAGTGTTCTACTTCAATCATTTGTATCTAGATATCTTTAATGTAAATAAAATTTTATAATAAAGTCTCTTTGGGACTGATTACATAATCTGACACGATTTATTAACACAAGCATACCTGTAAAAGAACACAGTACGTAGCAGCTGTAATGTTATCAATCATAAATTGACAAAAAGCTTACTCAGCAAATATTTCAGACGACGCCCGCCTAGGGGAAACAAAGCCGACTGGTTGATTCAATATACTTATGGTTTTACCCATAAATATATGACGCGTTTGGTGTTTGTATATCATCCAATTCTAAGACCTCTTTTCATCATCCCCTTTTGCAAAACACTTTATTGACCCGCCTAGGATTCCTTGCCGTTCGCCGTGCCAATGTATATAATGCTTGTGTAATAACGAAGCCTCTCACCGTTGTGAACTGCATTGGCTCTTGTTTCTACACTTGCTCAATCGACCAGACAAACTAGCGACAAAATTACATGGAAAAAGTTTCATGAAAGTTCACACAAATTTACTTAACTGACTAATTTCAATGCATTTGTGTATAATTGAAATAATTGTTCCAGGTTTGGTTTGTGTCTATAAGGATCCGATTCGATTCCACACGGTGTGAAACAACGCATGTTGAATAGCTCGCTTCTTGTTAATGTAAGGAAATGTTTGTCAACATCACATGTACGACTTGTCAATGCGTGGAAAGGATGTTGTGTTTACAATCAGACGTCATCATATTCCCCAAATTTCCGCACCTATTTCCATCACAATAATTTCTAAGGAACGTCATCATAAAGCTCTCAAAAGCGGAAGATGTTTATATTTCACACTGTATAAATGTTTTCTTTGAAACACGTTGAACAAGGACAACCTATAAAATATTTTAAAAACATATTTGTATGCAACATCGTGCACCACTTTTAAATCGAGTGGATTATTCTAATACATCCCATGTCCTTCAGTTACGCTATAAGCGTTTAAATTCAATTATTTTTTAGAAAAGAAATGTCAAGTGTACGGGGTATGCGCAAGAGGGTTTAAGCATTGAATTCTTGTATTGAGACACTGACTTTGTCCTGCTCAGTATAACACAGGTATGTTTCTGTCTACCATCGACAACGGTATTTAATCCCCGGTGGTGGGCACTGGTAGGCTAGCCCAAACAAAGGGTCAAATTCGCCACGGAGACAACCGACCCTTATGTGCATATCGCTTCAGCATCTTCATCGTGATGAACATTCTAGTTACAAATTTGAACCAATAAAGGTCGTGCATATTTGCTATAAAATGCCATCGTCTTTGTAATACGCATAATTCGCAAAAATATGAAGTCAAATTATGCTTTACTTGGTAACTGAAATAATTCCATCTGTATAAAATTGTCATCAAAGGGTTTGAATAGAGATTTCATGGGGATTTCACTTGGGTACGGGTTTGTGAGGTATGTGACAAAAATGCCATCATCAGTTGAGTCATCATCTTAAGATGCTGGTATTACCACAATGCAGTCCGGGGCTTTAAAAGTTCAACAATTGCACAAAGTTGACCTAAAGACACTATTGTGAACGGTTTCACCTTTAACGCTCTCAGAAATGTCAAAATATCAGCTGTGTCAATATATCGATATAGAACAGCTTCTGACTTTCTGAAGCTCCAAATTAAAACTGGAGGAAGGAACCGATTTGGGAAGCTAATATATCGCAAAAACCTGCACGTGTTTCAAGTGACAGGTAGCAACACGATTAGGAACATGCAGAAATATGTTTCTTGGAATAGTTAAAGATTACCTTTATCCTCCCAGACCAGGTCGTCAAGTTTGTTTTCCCAAAGGATCCAAATTGTATGTACATGGGCATAATGTACAAGCATGATTATCGTTATCCACTTAGACTACCACAGAGACCGATCTTGTCAAGTTCGGGTTCCCAAAGCAGTCCAGAGTGTTTGTACATAAGCACAATTTATCAAGATGTTTGAACGTCATTCAGCCTACAAATATATATTTTTCAAAATTTCTTTCTAAAGTAGAAATTTAAAAATCATGTTGATATGTCCCTGGTGAAGGTAGCAAATATAGAATTATATGAGTGCTCGAAAATAGAACTGCTTGACAGAGAAGTCCCGGTTACATATTAAGGCATTAGTTGGTAAATATGACGAATGCCATGTGAGGTCCATGTGCGCCGTGGCTTTATTTTAAGACCGTTCTAATCTCCAATACGGAAGAGTTATAAAAGCTACCCTTGGTCCAAAGCTGACTGGTCAACAGTCCACCGAGCTGACCTGGCATGGGGATCAAGCGTGTACATATACTTTCTCGCTTCCGTGAATACATGGTCATTAACTAAATGAACAAATGTTCTAAGTTCGACTTCTGACCCCTCCGTTGGAGTACTCATTACTCTGACCAGCGCGTCCACTCAAACAAGAGTACAGCATCATCACATTTGTCATCCACTTCCTTCACAGTGATTCGTGATTGTAGGTTTCGATTTGTCCTTTCTTTTTTATTTTGGCTTTCGTTAGTGTTCTTTGGGTTAGAATATAAATGTTCTTTGGGTTAGAACATAAATATCCCTCACTCTGACTATTTTAATTAAATTGCACTCATCTTCAGTTGGTTCTATTCAAGTGGATAGAACATAGTGACAGTTCAAAAACTTGTCGCCAGATCTAGTTATCCACTCATGGCACAGTGACATAGCACACACAAAGTGAGTTTATAGTTCATTTTTAATGATTTGAGAATATTTTCATATGGACACAATCGAGCTGATTTTCACGTGATTTTACCCATAGTTCCAATAGGAAGGCGAATTTGCTTCGTGATTTAACACAAAGCAGTTCATTGTCATGAATTACCCCATTGGTCCTGGGTTCGAATGTCAACTGACTCCGACCATTGATTCTGTGATCCTTGGTTTCTCCATATACCGCGCTCGGTTGAAAAAACGTCTGTGACCTGTGTCACTTTGGGTTTTCCTCGAATATTTATCTGACACAAGATAACATCAACGTTGGGTGAAGAGAATAAACACAATAAGTCAATGACATTGCCAGATAAAGTACTCTAAAGCATCACTATGTCCTATTTTGATACAGACATACTGCAGCTGACCACATGGGTACAATGTGTGAATCCCACCCCCATTGTCCCCCGCCCTGATATTGTTGGAATATTGCTAAAAGCGGCGTACTCACTCACTCACTCACTCCCTTGCTCACCCCTACATGTGAAATTGTAAAAGGTGAGTGTTTGTTAAGGTATATAAACAAACATATAAGCCCTTCCTGACAGCACATGTCAACACAACCAG